CTCCTTTCCAGCTCTGTCCTCTAAATCATTTTAGCTGCCGGTCACTTCGGCAGAAAAAATGAATAGTTTGTTATGCACGTATGTATTCTGTGGTGTTGAAAACTTGGGTGCGTCTTTAATTTTTATATTTTATCTGAAGCCTAAAAGTCTATATTTTGACTTTTAGGTTTCAGATAACTTTGGTGTTATTCATTCACTTACCCTGCCAAAATGTATTTGAAACAAAATATGAATCTGCCGAAAGGCTTGAATGTTTATTCCTATTGTTGATCCTGAACTGCTGAAGTGTGTAGACCCCAACCTTTCCAACAGGGTTCAGAACTTTTTGTTTCCTTTGCAGCCCCAAGCAAAAATAATTTGTTTTATTCAGCTGTTAACCCTCCTGCAGGGAGCAGTGTCTTTTCTGCTTCCAAGAGGAACTGTAACTTCCAATGCTATCTCCAGCAGCAAGAGCAGCAAAGATTGCAATTTATTCATATATTTATTTAAAACATATGTGATACCACCAGCTCTGCAAGGAAATCTTTGGGAGTAATCTTTGGAGGAAACTAACAGTAATAGTATTTTTTTCTTAAAGGAAAAATACTTTTTTAAGGAAATAGGCTATTCTGTTACAATAATGTAACAGTTTATTTCCCTCAGAGTGGGAGAGAAAAAAACTCTTTTTCATTGGATTTAGGCAGGTGCATAATAAGGTGAATCTGCTCCCTTCTGAGGTATAACATAAAAATTATTTCATATATAAAAAACCTAATTGTGGCATCTGTATTCTTCTGTCTGACAGCAGTACAAAATGCCTTATGTGTATGCATTTGAACAAGTCATATGTGCCTCCATGAACTGCAACAGTTAAATGTAAGATATGAGTGCAGTAATTAAATATTATGTATGGAAACAAATCTGAACCAGGGGAACCAGTACTGATATAATTATTTTAAGGTGCAAAAGATCCAAGATTATTTTGGGCCATTGTATGAATATTCTAGTTAACTTCTTCAGCTAACGCTACAACTGAAAATGATCACAATATACGTTGATAATTTAATAATGTATGAATAGAATAGATTTTGGTGATAGAAAATCTAAACAATATCCTTTCCTTTATTGTCCTCTCAGTAAAACGAGACAAGATTGAATGTTTCTCAATTTAATGACTGATATTAAATACATTAGGTACCAGAATGCTTACATGTAGAACAGATTTGTTTCACTCCTGACATGTAAAAAAAATGTATTCTTCATAGGATGTTGCATGGTTAGGTTAATACTAGAAATTGAGTACATATGTCCATGCACATGCCTCCCCTATAATTAAATACAATTAAATAGCAGTCAACTTTTAATTTTCCTGCTGGGAGCTGATTTTTTGATCAATGTGTATTATGGTTAGTTGCTTAGTCAGTCAGATGCTTAGACTGGATTTGGCATTTTTGTCTTCCTATTGAATCCTTCCCAAGGACCTGGGATAGACAGCTATTATTGTTTAATAATATTAAAGGTATTGTCACAGAATGTGAACTACAGGTAAATAAAGCTGTCTTTTACAAATTATTATTATTATATACACAAAAATGTGGAATCGCAGCTGCCAGTTCTTTAGCTGGTGTTGGCCTTCATCTGCATCAAGCTCTTCCCAAGAACCTAGGGTGTTGTAATGTGCGAATCCAAGCAGTGTGGCTTTTTCTAATTCACAATAGAAATTTTTGCCAGTGCACAGATTTTCTAAGTGCCATCCAAGATTTTTTTGTATGGCACTCAGTGTCTGAGAACCACAGGAACCACTATGGCTAATTGTGATCTTCTATGATTCTACTATCACCTGGTATTGCCACATCAATTATCCACATTTCTTCTTTTCAATCACAGTTAAATCTGGTGTGCTATGAGGCAAGACTTTATCAGTTTGAATCAGAAGTCCCACAATATTTATTATTTATGAGATTGTCAAATCATAAAACTCAAGGTGATAATTTATTTGGGTCTCCAGAGTTCATCTAATTTATGAAATTGCTTAAAACCCTAAGACTGTAAAATACATGGTGCCAAAAAAGTATCATCCTTTAGCTTTATACTTCCGTATCAACAACAAGTTTTAAGATGTACAGTAGATGAGTTTGGTAGTAGTAGTATGTGAGGACGGAAAATGTTTGAGAAGTTATTTGGTTTGCCTTTTCTCTTCCAGTATAGACCTTTAAAATGTTGTTTCGTGTTGGGAATTTGATTTCTTGATTAGAAAGCCTAGCAATGTGATTAGTATTTTATCCATGGCCCTCTCTTCTGGATCATATCAATATGAAAGAATGTGAAACTATGAATAGAGATGTTCACAAAACCACGTAGCTGTATTTTTTTAAAAAATCCCAAGGTAACAAATATTGTTGCTCAAAACAACAAGCAGTAGAAAATATAAACATGTCTACTATGTCACTAAAATCTAGAACTCTTATATTTTTCTCTTTTGATATACATTTCCATGAACATTTCTGAGGGTCCTTCTTTTGGGTACTTATCTATTTTGGAAGCTAGGAGTAAGTAAAAGAAATTTGCTAATTTAGCAATGTTGGAAACAACCTCTATAGTTTAAACTCTGTTATTCTGTTCTGAATTTGTATCCTATCACTGGTTTTAGAAACGGATCACTCTTTCAAGCTGTAAAAGAATATTCTGAAAAAAAATATAATTCTGAAAAAGTTATAAAAGTGAAATTTATTGTCTATTGTACCTTAATATATTCTAGCAAACTGAGTTCTGCTATTCTCTGTGATTAGCAGAGATCTAGTTAAATAAGAGGGTACTGCAGAAGTCTCCATGTGATAGGATTGGATGCTCTCCAGATCACTGTACAGCATTACAGAGATGATAGCGCTTTGATTTGTTTGGATTTTGAAACACAGGTTGCTAAGTAAAGAAACTTTATATAACTTATGTCATGGTTCCGACAGATGAAACTCTTCAAAAGAACTTCGAGGCATTGTTTACCTTAAAGAATCTTTTATTTGAGAAACAAAGTATCAGCACTACATAGTTGAAACCAGAAACTAAATTCCCCTCCCCTGGATACAAAGTAACAAAGTGCAAATCCCTCCTCCAATAAATAGTCATAAATCACATCCCCCAATTTCTCCCCAGCTCTCCAGCCTGCCAAAACACTATCAGCTCTCGGCCCAATGTCCTTGGGTTCCCACGACTAAGTTATTATTGTTATGACTAGTTGGACTCTCATCCCTATTCCCCCTCCCAGCAGCAACTAATTCTGAAAGCAATAGAGAAAATGGCTGCATTTCCATCTGTTGTCAAAGCAAGAACATCCGATGTTAGCAGCGTTGAAAACTCATGTATAAAAACGATGAAGTGGCTTTGGTGTTCTGAAGTAGTCTCTAGAGTAGTCTTCACTGTTGAGATGTGCCAAGCCTTGGCTTTTCATTTCAGCTTTGAGAATTGCTGAAATAAACTTTAAAATCATTTTTATTTATATAATTCTTATTCCTAATGTTTTTATTTCCATTATATCCTTGCAAAATATGCAAAAGGTTTAAAGCCAGGGCAATGGTTAATATAAGTACTCTTCAATATCTTCATAAATGATTTAGATGAGGGAATAGAAGGGGATCTCATCAAATTTACAGATGACACTAAACTGGCAGGAATAGCCAACACCCCAGAAGACAAGCTCAGGATCCAAAAAGATCTTGACAGATTTGAACAATGGGCCCTATCTAACAAAATGATATTTAATGTGGAGAAAAGCAAGGTTTTACCTCTGGGCAGGAAAAACCAAATGTACAAGTACAGATTACGTGAAACCTGCCTCAAAAACAGTAACTGTGAGAGGAACCTTGGAGTCCTAGTGTACAATCACTTAAACATGAGTTAGCAGTGTGCGGCAGCAGCCAAAAAAGCTAATACAATCCTTGGTTGTATAAACAGAGGCATAGAATCAAAATCAGGTGAAGTACTAGTACTACTTTATAAAGCCTTAGTAAGGCCACATCTGGAATACTGCATCCAGTTTTGGTCACTACATTACAAAAAAGATGTTGAGACTTTGGAAAAAGTGCAGAGAAGAGCAACTAAGATGATTAAAGGCCTGGAGACTAACGGTTGCAGAATTTGGGAATGGCCAGTCTAGAGAAAAGAAGGACTAGGGGGGACATGATAGCAGTATTCCAGTATTTGAGAGGCTGCCACGAGGAGGTGGTCAATTTATTTTCCAAAGCACCAGAAGGCAACACAAGAAACAATGGATGGAAACTAATCAAGGAGAGAAGCAACCTGGAGTTAAAGAGAAACTTCCTAACAGTGAGGACAATTAACCAGTGGAACAGCTTACCTTCAGACATTGTGGGTGCTTCATCACTTGAGGTTTTTAAGAAGAGATTGGACAGCCACTTGTCTGAAATGATATAGGGACTCCTGCTTGAGCAGGGGGCTGGACTAGAAGATCTCCAAGGTCCCTTCCAGCTCTATTCTGATTATTATAAAAAAAGTTAAAAATTAAAAAGTCAAAATAAGTTAAAAATATTTTTGAAAACTTAAAATAAATTAAAATGTGCCAACCCCTCCATTATGGAACTTCAATATCAATGATTAAAAATACAGCAAAATAAGTGCTGAAAAAATAATAGGATGATCTTAGTCCCATTTGTTATTTTATTATGTTTGAATATTATCTGACAGAATCAGCTTATACATTTGTAGCATTCCCTCCCCTCCTCTTCCCTCCCCTCCCCTCTAGTTTCATATTATATTATTATGAAGCACTTTTTCTAGATACATTACTGTATTTTGAAAACAAAAACAATCACTTGAGACATTGTGTAGGCCTGATTGTCTTGAGAGCATGTAATAGATTCCTGTGCTTTGCAATCAGGCTGCATTCAAAAGAGGTAGCTGTGGTTTGGAGAATGCCTTGACCTGTAAACATAGCATTAGATATTCCAAATGTTTTCAGCATTGATGTATTAATCTCATTGCTTTTGTTTGTAATTGTTTTTATGTAGGAGCAGTGCTTTTAGCCAGCATGCAAGGATTAACTGTTAATATTGATCCAGTTTTATATACCTGGCTCATGTACCAACCTCAAAAACGGAACAGCAGACTAATGCAGCAGGTAGGATATTTTTGCATCTTTATTTATGGTCCTAAGGCAACATACAATACAAACGCAAGGCACAATACTGAAACATTAAAAATCTGATAAATCAGGAGAAATTAAATGCTCACATATCACTTACAATTTGTTTTACATATTGTAGAAAGCATTTGATTTGTGCCATAAGTATCACCATTCATTTAATAATGGTTTGAAGTTATGCTGGTGTAGCGGGGCTGGCTGAAAGGCTTTGCAGGAGTCTGCCTGGGGAGAGGGAAGCTCGGAAGGAAAGAAAAAGGAGCAAAGAAAGGCCCAACCCCACCAACGACAACGACAACAGCCTCTCTCTGGTCCACTTCAGCTTCTTCCTAAACTCCAAAATCGACTAGGGAAAGACACTTCCTCTCCCTTCCTCTCTCTCTCTCTCTCTCTTCCACCTTAAAATGACGAAAGAAAGCGCCCCCCCCCCGTTTAGGACTCACCTCCGTTCTCTCTCACCCTCCTCTCTCTAAGTTGCTGGGATTGCTAAATTCAGATTTTAACAATAAAGGAAAGGGGGAAGAGGTTTTGACACCGATGAGACCTGAGACTGCGAGCGATGACAGAAAAGAAGGAGAGGCTGGTCGTTACTGCTTTGGAGACTAGCAGCCATCCGAACTTTGATTATTGTTACTTGTGCATAGAAATTGTGGGGAGTTGTCCTTGCGGGGCAAGCTGTTACTGCAGAATGCTGACTACCTTTGTTCGTGTTCCTATCGCTGCCTGGAGCCGGGGTTTTCCCCACCCCACTTTTTTCCAAACGACCGCTGTGCAATCATTGACTATTGCTGCTATGACTGCCTGGGGCTGTTAAACACTGTCACACATTGACTATCAGAGCTAGGGACTGGTCATCTTTGTTCCTGAAAAGCCCCCCTTTGACGACGAGAGTCTGTCACCTACTTCGTGTGAGCTTCTGCTAGAAAAGACACTTTACTAACACCTTGAGAGTACAGTTGCAGAGAGTGACGGAGGGGAGCGGGGCTCGGAAAGCCTGGGCTTTGGTGGCCTCTGAGGGGGTAACACTACATTGGCATGGGAAAAAGGATCTTACAACCCATCCTTGAAATTGTGCCTGTCATGATCATGTGATCATAATTCAGGCACTTGGCAACTGACTCACATTTATGATATTTGCCATCACAAGTTTTGTGACCTTCCCAATCTGTTTCCACCATTTGCAAATTCACTTAACAAGCGTGTAATTCAACAAAAGACCATATTATTCGCTTAATAACAATGGTAACAATGGCTTCAAAATAGGGTCTGGTCATATGATGACTTATGTAATAACCAAAATTCTGATTGCAATTGTGATCACAAGTTGACAATTACCTGTAAAGTTAATAGGTCCAGCTAATGAATACATTCCATAGTTGGAAGAAAATGTTATAGTTTTTAAAGGTTTAATTTGACAACATTTGCATGGAAAGAAAATAAATTACTATAGCCCCAATATCTCTCAAATAAAGTGTGCGCACATGTGCGTGTGTGTGTGTGTATACACACATATATTTTTACAGATATACATATATAAAAACAGATATACCTTTCTGTTTTTAGTATTCTTAGATAGATAGATAGATAGATAGATAGATAGATAGATAGATATTCCATTTTCTATTGAAAGAATTCCCAAAGAGGGGGTAAATGAAACAACAAATATTCTAATTGCTTGGTTAGAAAACTACACCTTAAAATGAGCCACAGTATCCTCTATCTTGGGGGTATATTTCTAAAACAATAGAGATTGATTCTTTAGAGCAGTGGTTCTCAACCTTTTTAATGCCGCGACCCCAACCGGTCGTAAGTCGAGGACTAAACCAGTCATAAGTCAAGGACTAAACCGGTCGTAAGTCGAGGACTACCCAACCGGTCGTAAGTCGAGGACTTTCCCTGCCCGGGAGCGCCGCGCATGCGTGGTTCCGCCCCCTGCGCCGGCCGAGGCGTAGCTGGCAAACGGCAGAGACGGAGCAGGCCGACCACCAGCTGGCCCAGGCCAAGGGAGGTAAGGCACCCGCCGGAAAAGGGGGGAAAAATGGCGGACAGCCTTGCTTGGCGACCCCCATGAAATGGTCGATTGACCCCAAATGGGGTCCCGACCCACAGGTTGAGAACCACTGCTTTAGAGAAAGATTCTTGTAGCTAGCTGTCGAAACTTGCTTCTATAATTTGTTGAAATATAATGCAGTAAAATATAGAGAAAATGAAAACGTTATGTCCTTCTTGAGTTTATTAGACTAATTAAATTTAGACACATCACAAAAAAGATGTTGAGAGTTTGGAAAAAATTCAGAGAAGAGCAACTAAGATGATCAAAGGCCTGGAGACTAAAACATATGAAGAACGGCTGCAGGACTTGGGTTTGGCTAGTCTAAAGAAAAGAAGAAATAGGGAAGACATAATAGCAGTATTCCAGTATTTGAGGGGCTGCCACAAAGATGAGGGGGTCACGTTATTCACCAAAGCACCAGAGGGCAGGACAAGAAACAATGGTTGGAAACTGATCAAAGAGAGAAGCAACCTGGAACTAAGGAGAAACTTCCTGACATTGAGGACAATTAACCAGTGGAATAGCTTGTCCCCAGAAATCATGGGTGCTCCATCACTGGAAATTTTTAAAAAGAGGCTAGATAGTCACTTATCTGAGATGGACTATCTGAGATAGTCACTTATCTGAGATGGTCCAGCCCCCTGAGCAGGGGGCTGGACTAGAAGACCTCCAAGGTCCCTTCCAGCTCTATTCTAGTGCATTATCTATTAATCAAATTAAGGCTTTGTAAATAAATAATGTAGTTATTGAATAAGTTGGTGTTTTTGAGTTTTCTTTCTAAGATATATTTTTATAATATTTGTGAAAAATGATATTTACTGGTAAAATTTTCAGTAGATCTTTTTTTACATTTTGGCATTTTTCTCAATGCCATAGCAATTAACATTGATACATGAAGTATAGATGAGAGAAATAGACATGAGGGAAAATATACCTGAAAGGAAACCAAAAGCACTGACATCTGAAACCTATGTCATCTCAACTTTGACATCAAGTTATTATGGATTTGCCGTCAAATTGAGAAAATCCAGAAATCTAAAATACAAACCTCCTAAAAAGATTCAGTTATTAAGTAATTAAGTAACTAGCAAGTGCATATATTCTAGCATCATATTTGTCAGCATCAGTAGTATTAAAAAGTAGGTAAGTGACTTGCTAGTTATAAATAGGCACAACTTGAATAATAGTCTTTGATTGAAAGTTGATCATGATTGAAGATAGAAGCACATAAGTAGACTTCACTTGTTTTTAGAAAGATATCTCAAGAGCCTTTTAACTTTGAAAGTTTGGAAAATAATACTGTAAAGAAATGATGAAAAGCTTTTAAAGCGTGTAAAATTGGCTAGAATCCACTCAATTTTAATATACAGTATGTTAGATAGATTTCTTAGAATATGGTTGTGATGAGATCACATTTTTTAAGTAGTTCCAAAAGAAATCCATGGAACAAATTGTAAAGTACATACTTGCCTGAAAATAGNTTTATCAATAAGATTAAAACTTTTAAATGTTATTATTAAGCTATGACTTTACTCTTACAGATTTAGTAAAGTTAAAAATAGCAGTGCTTTTCTCCTGCTCAAAACTTGTTATAAACATGGCATGTTGAAGGAAAGGTCTTCAACATTATGCATTTTTAATGTAATATGAGTTTAAAATGAGTTTTAAAAACATAACATAATGCACTACATTTGTGCTTTTCCTACTACACAGAAAATCCAGGGTGGATTATGGCGGCTGTTACTTATTTGAGCAAAGTTCCTGTTGTGACTATGTGGTTAGTGTTATAGGGGCAAAAGAGGATGTTTTCTTATATTTGCAGTTGGCTTCTGCGTGTGTCTAAACATTTCTTTTTATTTCAAATGGTGAACAATGTTGACATTTACTGAAAAACAATATAAAACCCATGGCAAGGCTTTTGAATGCCTGCATAAATTTACATAATGTCTTCTGACTTTATTGGGTACTAGTAAAATATGGTATTTATTTCCTTTTTAAAAAGTATCCTGAAATTTAGAATTATATATAATACTAATCTACAAATAGTAGAATAATGGCCTAGTTACTCTTTATTAATTTATTCACAGTTTAGCTCTTTTACCCCACAAAGAATCGTGTGAAAGATATTTCTGTAGAGAAAGCTGGTTAGATGATCTTTCATCATGAACGTAAATGGAATCATTTAAGATCTTGTAATCAATGCTGGATAACAGAGAAGATAATGATAATAATAATGATAAAGTTGGAAGGGACCTTGGAGGTCATCTAGTCCAACTCCCTGCTCAGGCAGGAAACCCTATACCATTTCGGACAAATGGCTGTCCAGTTTCTTCTTAAAAACTTCCAGTGTTGGCGCATTCACCGCTTCCATTCACCGCTTCTGGAGGCAGGTTGTTCCACTGGTTAATTGTTCTAACTGTCAGGAAGTTTCTCCTTAGTTGTAGGTTGCTTCTCTTTTTGGTTAGTTTCCACCCGTCTGCTCATATAAATTAATAAATGGGTGGCTTACGTCATCATAAAAGCAAAAATATAAAATTTTACAAATTTTACAATCATTAAAATTTTAAATATTAAAAGTTAACAAAAATGAAATAAATTAGGGACTAAAGAAGTGGAGTTGGGATCTTCTTCCTAGTCCACTAACTACCTCCAGTGTGGACCACCTTCCCCAATCAGGGCCCAGAGCAAAAAACAGAGCTAAGTTTGGAAAATGTAAGTAATTTAAGACTTACATAATAATACTGGCAAGACTAATGCAAATATGGAATGTAAATGAAAGCTTCTTTAATAGTACGAAAATATATATGCTGTTTTAGAAAAGCTGGAAGAGATTTTGGAAGATACTGCATGGTGTCTTTTGATTAATTTATTGTAGATACTTGCAAAATGAGGGTGTTGTTTTGTTTTGTCCCTGCTTCACAGGAACATTCCCATGTCATAGACAGTCTCCTGCGTCCTCCGAAAAAACTTTTCAGGTTTTGTAGTAAGATAGTTAAAAAAAGGAGCAAATGAGAATATTTTACATCTTAACCAGAAAAAATAATAGATCATTAAGATCAAGAAGATCGCACAAACTGATTATAAACAACGACATAACACTTTCACTTTTTGTGTGAACATAGAATTGAAAAATAAAAAGTTGACAATGAGCATGTTAAAATATTGTGGGATTTCCAAATACAAACCCATAAGTCTTGGCTCATAACATACCAGATTTAATTGTGGTTAAAAAGAAGAAAGTGTAAATGCTTGATTATTGGCACACTGAGTGCCATGTCAAAAACACTTAGGCAGCATTTACAAAATCTGCACACTGATAAAATTTCCATCTACTACCCTGATAGATTATGATAGGGGTCCTCAACCCCCAGTCCGTGGACCAGTCCCGGGCCGTGGCATGCCAGCAACTAGGCCATGCAAAGAAGTGAAGCCCCATCTGCGGGATGCAGGCAGCACACAAAACCACAACCCCTCTGGTCCACAGAAAAACCTTTTTCCATGGAACTAGTCCCTGGTGCCCAAAAGGTTGGGGGCCCCTGGATTATGGTTGGGAGTCAAAAGGGTTTTTAGGGGGCCGCTGGGTTTTTAGGAAGAGTTGAATGCATATGAATCCCAACCCTTGCTACAGAACTGGCAGTTGTGCTTTCACATTTTTGTTTTAATAACAACAACAACAACAATAACAACAACAATGAAAATAACAATGATAATAATAATGATAATAATAATAAAACATCTTGAAGAATATTTCTATTATGGAAAACAGAACTGTGGACTTATAACACATAGGGTTACCACAACATTAAAATTGTTTTCTGGAATTATAGCAAGGATAATATGTGCTAATTTGAAAAAAAAATGCATTTTTTCCAGTGGAACAAAATGGGACTCGCTAAATTCACATGGCATAAGATCAGCTACTTATTGAAAAAAATTATCATTAAAAGTTTTTTTATGGTCTAAATAGATTATACAAAGGCTTGTAAGTCATTTCTCATAGTTGGATTCGGAAACGCTTGGAAATGTTTGGAATAAACTTAAATATTAAAAGATTTTTGGATGTTATTTGCTTCCTGGGAAACCACCCTTACAGAATATGGGAGAAATTTGGAAGAAGCAAGAATAAAACCAGATCTGTTTCAAAGTAACACATTGTCACCATTGCTCTTTGTACAAGCAGTGATTCAATTTACAAGTATTCTGAACAGAATCAGTTATAAGTAAAAATTCACAAACAAAGCTCTCCAAATAAGCTATTTTCTTTATAGAGATAACCTAAAACTATACTGAATCAGAATTTACAATTGAGTCTCTGTCAGGTATTAGTCTGTATATTTAATAAAGATACAAGAATGAAATTTGGACAGGATAAAGGTGCAATTTGGCAATGAAAGAAGGTAAGATTACAGGAGAAAATGGGTTACACCTAATGAATGGAATGGTGATTAGGCACCAGGCACCTGAAGAAGGATACAAATATTTAGAATTAAAGGAAGCTTCTGATTAATTGCACAGCCAAGTTAAAACACAGATAATTTAAGTTATTTCAAACAATTTGAGGGGCTTTTTTAACAAAAACTAAACTAAATGGTGGAAATATTGCTAAAACAATAAACACTTGGGCAGTCATTGTAATTAAATATACTGCAGGAGTAATTGATTGGCTTCAAGCCAAATTGAACAATCTTGATCAGTAAAACAACAAAATTAATGACCATAAATCATGCACTTCACCTCAGAAGTGACATTCATAGATTATATGTATTCAGAATTAGAGGTGGTAGAGGACTATTGCAAGTAAAACAAACTATGGAATAAGAAAAATATAGTCTGAATGATTACATCTGGAAAAGAAAATAGACTGTGCTTATGGAACTTCACAAGGAAAGCCTTCTGAAGTAACACAAAAGAGCTAAATTAGAATACAAGACTAAGATAATTCAAAATCGGATTAACATCTGGTAAAACAAACCACTCCATGGTGAATGTTTGTATGAGACTGAAGGAAAAGTGAATCAAAATCTAACATGGGTTCTAGCTGAAATCTGTTAATTTAAAAAGGAAATCAAGGGAATAATTCAAAGCCAGAATATGGTGAGATGGCTGCATATAAATTTAATAAATAAATAAATAATTGAATGGAGTCTCTTGAAGACTGTTGCTAGATTAGTTACTTACTGAACAGTGACCTCCAGATGTCCATTCTGCAACATTTTATTGTAAGCAATATCCGATTCTGTACTTCATTTTTTAAGGAAGAAATTAATTTCTTTTATTAGGTTTATTTGTTTTATGCCCTGATCTGTTTTTGCGTGTATGAAAAAGTAGGTTTGCTGCAATATATCTGGCCAGATAAGAGTACTGCTGATAGAAATATTTGCTGAATAAATACTTGTTTCCATTTTTTGATCCAGTTCCTAGGCATGGAGGATTATTGGAACAACCGCAATTTATAAGTGAACTCTGTGAAAAGAGGAAGGGAGGGCTGCATTTAATTTTGCTTGTCCTGCAATTCTACTGAATTACTTGTTGTGTTTCTCTTTCCCTCCTTTTTTTTTTATTCTGATAGGCTGGATCTGTCTCTCTCGGGACACCTGTCACAAGGAAAAAAGATGATGAGATGTCAGTTGGGAGCACACCATTGATTAAGCATCAGTCAAATCAGGCTTCTGAATATGCCAGTAGCCCTGTAAAAACAAAAACTGTAACAGGTGTGTCTGCTTTAATTCAGTTTGCAATTATTTATATAATTTTACGATTTAAATGGTAAGAATTTCAATGTCAATCAAGGTAAAATTTACTAGAAGATTACTTCAATTTTTTTCTAATTACCATCCAGTTTTGTAATCAATTAAGCTGTTTTAAAAATACATACAATAATTATCACATCAAGTTGGTAGTGCTGAAGTGATACCTCAGTCCAGGGAGAGAAGCATGTGAAAGAGATTCAGAGCAACTCCATCTTAATTATACTAGATATAATTTAATCAGGAAAATTGCTTTGATAGGTTTTTAAAATTCTGCTCCTACCAACAATGAATATCTTTCTAGAAATCCAAGTGGTTCTGATTTCTTGAAATAGGCAGCCTTGCAGGGCTTGTAATCAACTTTGAAGGCCTCTCAAAGCAGTTGTCCCACTCAAGGAATATCTAATGTGTTGAAGGCTTTGAATTGCTTTGAGTCTTCTCTCATGCTTCCTCCCTCCTTTAGACTGGCTCTTTTGCAATGGACCTGTTTCCTTCTCTGCTTTCCCAGGGTCTGTTATACTTTTCCTCACACATGAGATATGTTGCTAGATCCTTACTGATTTGTGGAAAATAACTCCATAGAAAAAGGCAAGGAAACTTTAGAAAAGATCATAGTTTGTAATGGATAAAAAGGATTGCCTTGAAGGACAGGGGAAAGATACACTACCAAGGCAATGATCAGATAAACAGAATTTGAGCCCAGACCAAGAAAATAATTAGCAAAAAGATCTCAAACAAGAGGGAGGAAAGGTAGCAGGGTTCCATTATTATTAGCTAGCATTTATTAGCTATTCTAATAAAAGTAGCTTAAATCTTCAAGGTGCCTATTTTCTTAGTCAGATTAACCTGACATCTATCCAAAATCGAAGATAATCAGGAAGTAAGCACTCTTAAAAATGATAATGTATTTGAACTATGCAGCAATAGCTTCCCTTGATAAAACCAGTACAATAGTTTGATAAAGGACAATGGAGTTCTGCTTCCTTAAGACCTATAAAGCCCTCAGCATTATAAGACACAATGTGTGGAACAAATATTTATGAATTACCAAGATTAAGATTATACGATTTGTTGTTTTTTTTGTTTAAGGAAATATCTTTTTCCAGGGATAACCCCTAATCTATACTGATAGGTAACTAATTTTCTTTCTTTGCTTTTGTGTCTTAATTCCTACTGTCTCTCTATTTTTCTTCTAAAAATCCAGAGAAAGATCTCCTTTTAGATGTTCCATTCATGAAGTAAATTTATGAGGAATGGGCTGTGAGCCAAGCAAATCATGATCAAAAGATCAGTAAGAGAACAGAGTTTTAGAACTTAAGGACATTTATAAGCTTCAAATTTGGAGTATAAAGGAGCTTATTAATGCTGGTGAACACTAAAACTAGGATTCAGTTATGACTAATTTTGGTTTTACTGGGATTATTAGGTATATAGTAACATGTACTCCATTTAGCAAGCTATTTGGTCTTTCTTTTATTTTTTTTAAAGAATCACGACCATTATCGGTACCAGTGAAAGCCATGCTTAATTCAACTGAAATGTGCAGCAAAAGTTCTGAGGAAAGAATGAAAGAATTTATTAGTGTGGTATGGAATGCAGTTAAGTGCCTTACTCTTCAGGTAAGAAATTGTGGATGGGAAATGAAAGAAAAGAATATTTTGATGTACTTTTAGAATCTTCCGTTATTTTGAAATTTCTATGAAATAAGTTCCCATTTTAAGGTTATATGGGGAATAATGAAGCCAAATTTCATTTGACCAAAATGGAATGATGAAGCCAAATTAATTAAACTTTTCAAGATAAGTAAGCATTGGGTTAGATACCTTTATGTTCTATTGTATATAGTCAGGTGTAACAAAAACAATGCTAGAGTGCAAACTTTCCATAATAAAGTTTTTTAAATTATTTATATAGCATCTTAGAGCAGTTTGTCTAGTTAGTTAGACTGTATTTAATCCACTGCAATGTACTCTATTTGGGGATACCTTGAAGACCATTTGGGAACTTTAGTTGACTGCCTATAAGTTTCCAAGTATAGTTCAAAATCTTATGAAGCCCTAAAGGTCATGTAACTACAAGGGACACTAATTTTCTCCTTATGTCAAGGGTTGGCTTCTCCAAACCGGCTATAATATAACTTAATACTCCATTAATACTACAGTTTCCAAGATCAGTTTAGTCTACTTATTACTACAAATGTTCTTTCTTTTTGAAATTTTTGTTGATGACACGATTGGCACAATTTTAAGAAAGTGTGCTTATTGATGGAAAAGACAAATAAAACATGTTTTATCTTCATTATGTGATAGATTTTACTATCTTTTATTGGTCTTTCATTATAGACTGCTGGATAAAGAGTATGATCTTTACATAATCAAAATAGGAGAAGAATCTATTTCAAGAAATTGTAACACTTGTATGTTAAAAACAAGCAATTATGTTCAGTATTGGCAAAATAACACGTTGCTACCAAAACTGAAATTCAATCCTTGAAACAGAAAAGATGTTACCATGGAAAAATAAAGTAACACTTAGTGCAGCTGTGATGCATTAATGAATAGAAGCTTTTTTAAAAAAAAAATCATTTGTATATGGTATGGCTTAGTGGATCTCAACCAGATGGTTTCCTTGAACAGGATCTGACCTTCATCTTGAGGATTTCTTACTGGGAAATTATTTCATTTTCTCCCCTTTTATTTGTCAGTTCTTTACATTAATGTAAGATTTACTGTTGTAGATTTATATTGTTATATAAATTAGTCACATTTTATCTTAAGTTTACAGTATTAAACATGTAGTTTAATAGTGGTTTTCAAAGTGTAAAAACAATATAATATATGTAATATGTCGCATTAATGTAAGCTAAGGATACAGGAATTTGAAGATAGTTTAACATTATACCTATCAGTAAAGAGATCAGTGGCACCTTCTCATTTTTTAATGCAACAACTTATAAGATTTTTAGTTGCATTTTTTCTCTCTGCTACTATTATATGCCAAAGGGTAAGTTCACCTGCATTTGGTGGTTGTAAAAGGAAAGTTTTACGTACATTTTTGAACATGCATTCAGCTATGTAAGCAAAATTATTGTTTTGTACATTAAAAGTTGATCATATGTGACCTCAATAGATATTGTATATATTCATGCTTTTAGAGGATTGCATATGCAATTAGTTCATTTTCAGACAGTAATTTCATAAGAACATAGAAGTAATGTTGAAATATGATTCTTATTTTAAATGTTAGTATCTAAGTTAATCAAAGGATTTAAAACTTACTCAAGGTGACCAGCTCTACAAATATTTGTCTTCTGAACATATGTACCTATTTTCTTGGCTTCTTCTTGAGTTGTTTTCAGATAAGGAATAGAATTAGACTCCTGAGCACAGGTCTGAGAACAAGGACAATAATATCCTCACCCCCATTTTCACGCTCAAAGAAAAGAGAATAATGTGAATGTAAGAATTGCTACGCAGGAGTAGCTCATAATATACCTGGCTAAGATTCTTTTTCTTATAAGGCAAATAAAGCTCGTGACCACGGCAGCATATGGACAACTAAAGGAAATGCAGATAGCATAATTAATACATTTCTAGAACTTGTCTGTTTAGAGAAGTATAACAAAATCTGAGCACATGCAGGAATCAGTTCCAGCTAGTGTCAACATTGCAAAGCTCAACTGAAAGCATCCTTTTTTTTAATGTGACTGATTTGATGGATGATCGCTGAAGAAAACCAAGTTTCCCACCCAGCACTGGGTGGAATTTCAGTATTCTCCATAATTTTTTCCTTACTCTATGGATAACAATATTAATGATATAATGGAAAAGAGAGTGAAGACATAACATCTGCATTTTCATACATTAGAATTAGAAAGTTGCTAGGATGTAAAGAAGTAAAATCAGAGGAAGTGAGCAGTATCCATTAGCTGTAGCTGAACTCATGTTGCTAAAATGTCATAATCTAATGCAATTTAATCTTAAACTCCAATTTATTATTTCATATACCGTATAAAATTTTCCATTTTTGGGTATATAAACTTGAGTAAAAACTAATAAAGCAACCTCACTGCTAAAAATTATAGAGAACTTAATAGAGAAAATGGGGTGGGTGTGTCTCAGATGAATTGGATTTTTTTTTCCTTTTAACCAAATTACCCACTTAGTAGGGAAGCTGATGTCACATCCTATGAACAGCTTTGGCTGTAGATCAGGTATCCACAAACTCCCCTTGTCAAGTTTAGTATGGAATTTGACCCAGTCAGGATCCCTAGATCAATTCTTGCACTTGGGTTAAGCTAAAAAATTTGGTCCATCTCACTTATAGCTCTCCTATTAAAATACTTTATCAGCTTTTCTTTCTAAAGCACTAACATAAATTATCTATAATTCTTTATTCAGTTTTTACTTATCTGTAATATAGTAACCTGTCAAACAAACCTGAAATAGAATTATCTAGATCATATTTATCATATACTTAAATTATTTAGTGCTCAGTGCTCTATATTCAGGTATCAGCATTATGAGGACAAGATAAGTTTTTTAGGGGTGTGTTGTAACTTATTCTTTATAAATTTTGTCTTATCAACAATTGTTAAGTCTATAGAGGTACTTTGTTTGAGTTTTATGTGTGTTGATATGTCAATATTATTTTTAAAGATGGCACACACATTTTTTTCTCTAAAGGTTGACTTCCTAGATACTTTCAGTCCTTTTTTCTGTAAGAGGAAAGCTGGAAGCTTTCTGGTTTTAGGGGGTGTTGTTTTTTTTAAAATCTAAACATGAAGCTAAATTGCCCAGGAGATTATGTTGGTTATCGCATTCCATGTGCACATAGCTACAGAACACAAACAGTGCTAGCTGTATGCGGTTTTGGCAATAATGAGAATATTTGGCAATGTAACAAAGGTGGTATTTTAGCTGCATTTCTTGAGAATGATGCAGTCTTCATAATACACGTCATTCTCTGTGAACTTCAAAGAAATGGAAAAAATTGTCACTAAAAGAAGCAAGATTTGAGTCAATTCTGAAGTCTTAGTTTATGCTATCAGAAGCTAACAAACTACAAATGGATTTTTGTTGTTGTTAAATTTTCTGTGAGTACACTTTCCAAATCAATCATCTTCCTTAGTAAAAGATGTGTGAAAAGGCAGATAGGCATGTTTTTCTGCCAGTTTTCCTGAATAAATCAATAGGACTTTTCTTAGGTATTGACTGACACACACACACACACACACACACACATTACAAAAATACAGATCACGTGGTGTGGTTATCTTTTTTTATTATTTAAACATGAAAAATATCTAGTAACCGATTTTGATGCTTGTTATCCTATGAACCTTAGATTTAGGGCCACAGTAAGTGTGTTGTTTTTTTCTTTCAGCTGGAAGTGCAGTCATGCTGTGTGTTCATTCCCAATGACAGCCTGCCATCTCCCAGTACTATTGTGTCTGGTGATATTCCTGGCACTGTCCGTAGTTGGTATCATGGGCAGACTAGTATGCCTGGAACTCTTGTCATTTGCTTACCTCTTCTAAAGATTATGAGTGCAGGGCACAAGTACATGGAACCCCTCCAAGAGATTCCCTTTATTGTGCCAAGACCAATACTTGAAGAAGGTAAGAGATAACAAATTCCAAAAGAACGAGTGTTATAATGAGGTACTATTTTCTAAGATGAATTTTGTAGCTTGACATCAACATTCTTCTTTAATCTTTTCAAAATGCTTCATTCTTTTTAAAATGCTTGATCAACTATTTTTTATTACTTTTTTAAACATTTTTTTCATTTTTTAAATGCTCTTTGCGTGACACAAGAATTAAATAAAGGAGAATATTTGTAGCTTGAGGTTGAAATGGGTGTTATCTGAGCTTGGTTGTTTTCTTGCAGACATTTCATTATCCAAACTAGGTAACATCATCAGTGTTCAGCACTTTGGTAATGAAATGTCTGTAAGTTTAAGCCTAATATTTTATGAATGGATCATATTTGACTATATTTGTGAATAACAAATGTTTTCATCTCCCATATCCCCATGGGATAAAAACATGCATACCTAGTTAAATGTAACCTAATACTTTTACTTCTGGTAACCCAAGAATAATATTTGCCTGTATTATTATTTAAAGACAATTTCCTTCCCCTGATGTAGGACATAAAGTGAAGTAAGGCTAAGAAAGGCAACAGGGAATGCCAAGAAAGAGGCAACTAAATCTGTGGCTTTACTATAAGATGGTGACATTTGTCAAATATTATTTATCAATAGAAGAACTCTGTGTAGCTCAGAATTGAACTGTGGGGTCCTTGGTTCTCTCTGAGCTTGATTGTTTTAGTTGCATTAATGATGTTACCTAATGAAATTCCTGCAAGAAAACAACCATGTTCAGAGAGCACCAAGGACTCCACTACTATTAATCTAGAAAATAGTCTTCTAGATAGTCTTCTTAATAGTCTTATTAAGTAGGAAATGATATTTAGGTATTCTGTTTCATTCATTCATTTATTTAGTAATGGAGATACTGCAATAATAGCAATCATAGTGTTTTGTTCATTGCATTTGCATCAATTTCCTAACTGGAAAATTTCTTCAAAACAAAATGCATTGTTTTTAACAAAGCATCTTTTATCTAAACATCTTTTTGCTCCCACACATACAAAGAGTCATCATATCAGAGCTCTCCTGTAGCAGAATTGAATTATCCCAGAATATCATGCTTCCTCTCAGAGTCTTGTGAACATAATTGCTGTCCTTAAAACACACCCACATACACACCTCCCATAGTTAAACAAAAGAGCATTAGGAAAATAGAAGAGATTACTTTTCTCTTTTATTACTTTTATATGAAAGCTGGTGACTACACTGTAACTTTAGTAATGTGTTACTCAAAGTAACATTTAAGATATTTTTATCTCTTTCTGAATCCCAGTAATTAACACTATCTCTTCTAGCAAAAGATAAACATCAAAGGGCATGATCCAGAAAAGCCAAATTAATTAATTTAGAGAATATCTCTGATCCAAATTTAGAAGGTCACTTTGTCATTAAATTTTAACAAGTCAAACCCGTTGTAATTTGAGCTATAGTTGTTATGTTACATCCATCTACGTTTTGTTTCTTATATTTACACGTATAAGTACTACACACGTAACATACTATACAAATTATAGACGTTTCCTTTAATTGTGAAGACACATACATAACATAGAATGTGATCTTGAATAGTATCACTAAATACTAGAACTAGACTTCTAGTGCTAGAGAAGACTCCTGCGAGTCCCCTGGACTGCAAGGCGATCAAACCGGTCAGTCCTAGAGGAGATCAACCCTGACTGCTCTTTAGAAGGCCAGATCCTGAAGTTGAAACTCAAGTACTTTGGGTACCTAATGAGAAGGAAGGACTCACTGGAGAAGAGCCTAATGCTGGGAAAGATTGAGGGCAATAGAAGAAGGGGACGACAGAGAATGAAGTGGCTGGATGGAGTCACTGAAGCAGTAGGCGTGAGCTTAAATGGACTCCAGAAGATGGTAGAGGACAGGAAGGCCTGGAGGAACGTTGTCCATGGGGTCGCGATGGGTCGGACATGACTTCGCAACTAACAACAACAAGACTTCTATTAGTTTTGTGAAGGAATAATCCAAAAGTATTTTAGTTAGTTTTATATGAGGATAATCCACATTTGAATGATTCCTTTATGTACATATTTTACTTTTGTTTTTGCTTTCCTTTTGATTAACAAGGAGATGCTTTTCCTTGGACAATCAGTCTGAATTATTTCAGCATCTATACGCTTCTGGGGCAGCAGTTGACCCTTAATATCATAGAACCTGTTGGCTGCACTTCTACTCTGGCAGTTACTTCACAAGTGTTGCCCACTGCAGGATCAGAATCCAGGCACTCATTTGTTGTATGTCTTCATGTTGACCTTGAATCGCTTGAAGTAAAATGCTCAAATCCTCAGGTTGGTGCATTTAATTTATTGGAATAAATTAAAATTGCTTAATTTAAGTATTGTTCTGGATTCTATAAGAATTGTGTTTTTTTTCTCTTTTAAGCATCTTTCCTATAAAAACTAAGTCATCAAGATCAGGGTACTTAGATTAAGATTTGCTTTGAAGCTCTTTCATGTTTCGTAATTTAGATTCATCTGTAATAGCTATAGCACATAAGTGCATCTTGGAATTGATGGAATGAAATCACTTGCAGATGTATTGTTAAATGTTGAGGCCCTGCTTTGCTGTCAAAGTGGATACATTTGTTGAAATGAATTAATGTACTCTTTGTAGAAATTAACAAAGGTACCTGATCTCATTAAGCATCAAATTATTTCAACTAAAGAAAAAATACCTTCTATGAGGGTAATAGAAAATGACTTTATTTATATAAATATTTTCTTTCTTCTTTTCCAACCAAGCAGTCACTCAACATGGTTAGCCATGAATCAAATATAAAAACAAGTTTAAAATGTAAAGAATGCACAGAAATAAAATACCAGTGCCACTCAGTAGTTACAAAAAGGAGTAAAAGTAGAAACAGTCCCTTAAATAAGGATAGAATACAAGATCAATCAATTTAAAAGAACACAAATCACAGAATCTGAAGGGTTGAGAAACAGCCTGCTGAATATTCTAGAGCAGTGGTTCTCAACCTTTTTAATGCCGTGACCCCCAACCGGTCGTAAGTCGAGGACTAAACCGGTCGTAAGTCGAGGACTAAACCGGTCGTAAGTCGAGGACTACCCAATTGGTCGTAAGTCGAGGACTTTCCCTGCCCAGGAGTGCCGCGCATGCGTGGTTCCGCCCCTGTGCCGGCCGACACGTAGCTGGCAAGCGGCAGAGACGGAGCAGGCCGACCACCAGCTGGCCCAGCCCAAGGGAGGTAAGGCACCCGCCGGAAAAGGGGAAAAAAATGGCGGACAGCCTTGCTTGGCGACCCCCGTGAAATGGTCGATCGACCCCAAATGGGGTCGCGACCCATAGGTTGAGAACCGCTGTTCTAGAGCAATACATACTATCATATGACGTTAGCTTTCTGTGGATCATTTTCCTTTGTGAAATATTTGTTGAATCTTGAAATTTGCCCAATCTTCCACTAGTAATTATTCCCAATGAAAAAGTGAGAAATATTGTAACAAATTTCGAAGGATTTAAAAAAAAAAAAAGATATTACAGAAACTTGATTCAATGGATATGTACCTGGTGTACTGATAGGGTTACAAGATGTGATGACTTATTAATTTATATTTCTTCAGGCCCTTGGAAAAGTGCTGCTGAATTTGTATTCTGTTTACAGCAATAAATACTAGTGCAATTTATAAGGAATCTATGAAATTTGAATAGGATAGAGGCTATCTCTGCATTGTTAGTCTTATGGTTATAAGAAAAGTTAATTAAGCTAACAGCATTTAAATTGAAGTGTTGAAATTAGGTATAAAAATACCTCATATGGTTTCTTATTGATTGATTGTGTGCCATCAAGTCAATATTAATTCTTAATGAACACATAGACTTTCTCCATGACATTCTGTTTCTAATCTGGCCTTTCAGATATTTTTTCAAAACATTAGATGGCTCTTTTTCATTATATTATATTTATGTGTTGATAAAATACTTTTAATTTGTGTCACATGGAATCTGCATGTGCATAACCTATTTTCCCCTCCCCCTCCTTTCGTCCTATCTCATGCTAATTTAAATCTTAAATC